ACCCTCGGCGGGAGCGCCGCTGCGCTCCCAAGCAGCACACTGTAGCAGTGCGCCACCAGGCTGGCCCCTTTGTCCTTTTTTTGAGACCAGCCGCACGGCGCTCAGCTAGTGAGCGCACTGGCCATCCCTATATAGGATCTGAACCCGCGACGGGAGCGCTGCTGCACTCCCAGTGCCGCACTCTTCCGAGTGCGCCATGGGCTCGGCCTCTATCTGACATCTTAAGATAAGCTTAAATAATCACTAGATTATTTGTAGGCTTACCTAACAATTGCTGTATAACTCTTATTTTTGTCATAAAATTATCTAATTAATACCTTAAACAATGTAAAACTAAATGTGCATATTTTGTAAATTTTCTGAGATCATGTTTTTTTGTAACCTAGAGCCATGGAACTGTTAAGGGTAAAAGGTCAAAGATCCTGGTCTGTTGGACTATCAGTAGCTGACCTGGTTGACAGTATTGTAAATGATAAAAAGAAAGTGCATTCTGTATCAGTTTTAGCAAAGGTAATTGCTATTCTTATTCTCTCATCATATTTTATTATTTATTTGTTGTTTTGGCAGCTGGCTGGTATGGGAATCCAAACCCTTTACCTTGGTGCTATAACACTGCACTCTAACCAACTGAGCTAACTCACCAGCCTCTCGTCATATTTTAAACTTTAATATTATTAATATAAACCAGCAGTATTGTTGTTCATACTCGAACTCAGGTGTCTTCAGTGTCTCCAGCTTTTAAAGTAACTTGCGGGAGGAGGCAGTTTGGTCTAAGGCCTATCCTGCTTGGCTGTGGGAAGTCTGGGTTTATACCAGATTGTCCTCTTACCATCATGTAATTTTTGGGAATCCCCAAGAAGTGTTTATCTATTCCAGAAACAATTTCTGGTTGCCCTTTTATCACCTCAGCCAGCCAAGACATCCCAGACTGATGTGCCAGCTGGTCTCAGGTCGTCATCAGACTGTTTCTCCAGTTTCTCCTTTATCACTTCACCCAAAGCATAAATTCCCTAAAGCACAGCTAAGATGAGGCACAAATGCGTAATCAAATTTTCTCGAAGACTTAGGAACACAAGGAGGAAAATACAACACAGAAAGGACAAACTTAACAGAGTTTACTCTATTTGACTGTGCCCAGAGCCCATACGATGCCCCTCCCCATATGATGCTCCCCATTCTGAGCATCTTTTTTCTTAGCCCCCAACCTGCTACCCATATTACAGGGGGCTAGCTTACCTCCCCACAAAGGGTGACCATATTCCTCCTATCTTTCAGATTCCCCCAAGAATTTTCTGAAACAGTAACTTGAGTTTATAAAATAAATGAACAAAATTTTTTTTTAAAAGTTCAACTTGTATTACTTTGTACTAGAACTAGAAAAGCAAGAAAGTATACATTTTTATGATATTAACTATTTTTGCAGTGAGTCAGCTCTATTATAATCCCTACTTTTTTCATTTCAGGGATATTATGATATAAATACTGAAGTGTTTTTAAGTTTGCCTTGCATTCTTGGAAACAAGGGAGTATCTGAAGTCATCAATACCACAGTGAAAGAAGATACAGTGACTGAGAAACTTCGGAGCAGTGCATCCTCAATCCATGGTCTCCAACAACAGTTAAAACTTTGATTCTCAAGTGCAGTTACCTGAAAGGAAAGGTCATTTAATTTTGCTAACATATATCGATTTGAGAACTTCTGCATCTTATTACTTATCCTTACAAACTGCTTGGTTAAGGTAGATGGTTTCTTTGTTAGCTTTGTAATTTGAATCCTTAAGGAGTTAGACAAGGAGGGGGGAAATCTAATTTTCTTTGGAGTTCTTGAGGTATCTGTACTGTTCTTTAAACCTATAGCAGGGATAAACATTCATCTGCAATGCGAATCATTTTAAATTATGTGTCCTAAACTGAAAGCACATTCAGCATTTTGGGAATATTTTGAAAGTAATACATTTTTAAAAGAAAATTACTCTGTAGCTTTTATAATAAACATGATCAGGTGAAGGCCCAGTATGGTTCTACAAAATCTGTGCTAGGTATACATTCATATCTTAAGATATTAATGTTTATTTTGCAAAATACAGTTGTTAGTAATGGTAAAATATTTTATTTTCCTTCTTCAAATTCATTAGCTACCAAAAAATGGAAAAGAATTTTGCATGCACTTTAAAATAGTAAAAGGGAAAATGAAATTTTTTAATATATGAAGAAAAAGTATACTTCAATTTCTAGTGGGACTTCCTTTTTACAGAAATTTTCTGTAAGCTCTTCCTGGGCTATATAAGATCTCCAACATCTTATAAACTTACTGTGATATTAGTAGAACCATAGAGAAATGTGTATTTTCAGTGGAAAAATATTATGAGTGAAAGTCAAGCAGTTTACTTTGAAGTCAAAATATGAGGCTTTCATGATAACCATTGGTCTTAAGGGAGAGAGTTTGGATGGACTGATGGTTCTGAGCAAATCCTTTAACCACTCCTGAAAAAATGATTCAGAGTACATACACTTTGGTGATGGGTCAATAGCAATATTTTTATATGTGAATTATAGCATATTATTACTATTGTGACACTAATAGTAATAGCTCACACCAACACTTCTTCCAGGCAGTGTGATGAGCACTTTATTATTTAATTCTCACACTGAGGTAGTAACTATTATCGTCATCACTTTATAGAGAAGTAAATTGAAGTTTAGTATCCAAGATCTCATGGCTATTAAGGGGCACTTACCCATGCAACCTCTACTTTGTCTAGGCACTAAAAAGGGGGAAAGGCCTAGTAGCCAAAATAGTTATCAGAAGACCCTAAAGTTGTGGTCTTGTATACTATGAAAGGATTACTTCCATTCTCATGTAGGGGCTTACTTTTTTAAAAAACAAAACAAAAAATAGCATAGTTTAGAAAGATTGATTCCCTGGCTTCCCAGACTTCTCCTCAGCAAATAGTAGGGGTGGTGTGCACTGAGATAGGTGTTTATTTATTTAGTCATTCAGCTAGTATTTATTAGGAGCCTGCCATCCACCAGGCACTAATAGTGAACAAGCCTGAATAAGGTACAAGCAGTCTTGGTCCTTACAATCTAGTGTGGGAGATACAGTAATCAGATCTGACAAATAAATGAACAATTGCAAGTGTAATAAGTACTGTGAAGAAGACCAAGGTGCTTTGAAAGCATATAATAGATGAATCTGAATGTGGTCAGGGAGGTAAGAGCCAGAAAGCTTATAAGGGTAGACACATCCTAGATAGAGAGGAAATAGTCAAACTAATGCTGATTTAGTATAATAATGGATGCTTATAATAATGAACTTCAGTCACACAGAAAGGGTGAAATTATATTAAGTATTCCACGTTTAAGAAAGTAGAAAAGTATTTAATATGTTGGAAAGATTCCCACCAGAGTTAACTGGACAGAAACCTTGGACATTTGAAGAACTAAACATTAGTTCTATGTAATTTCATTATACAGGTAGATTATTTTTGTATTACTCTAACAATGTATCCTTATTGTCCTTCTGTATGTAATAGGAAAGTAAAGCTGCAAGAACCATTTCTTGTGTTTTTTAAGCTAGCCTTTTCTAAAATCTGATAACTAATTAGAAATTAGATAATTCCTGATACCTAATTTCTAATATGCTCTTGAACGATAATCTAACCACAAAATATTGTATAATAGAATTATTATTATGTTACATTGTATAATAGAATTACCAAGAATTCACTACATTATAAAAGGAATATGCCAATACAACAAATATTATTGAGCACCTACTGTTATTCCAAGTACTGTGTTAGAATTTGAGTACTCAGATGCATAGTAATAGTCCTTGCTCTCTGGAAGGCCATCATGTAGAATTCTCTATATCGGATATTTCCTTGAGTGTTAAGTATTAGTAATCATGTTATAAGTCCTCTACATAAGAAGCATTTGTTGATAATTTGACATTCACAATGCTTCTATTAACTTTCACTTTTCACTCTTCCAAAATCACAGGGTGCCTCTTGTTATGATTTTTAGTGATGCTTGGATTAAAATGCCTTTTTGCTATTGGAGCAGAAGATAAATTTTTTATTTTCCAATTTACATCATGTTTTCCTTAAATATCAGGAATAATGAATAAAATAAACTTTGATTTTAAAATCGCTAGATTGGGAGAGGGGGAGGGAGGTTGGGGGTTAATTGGGTGGGGGACATGGGGAATAATTGCAATTTGTGGTAATGGGCATGTTGATAGTATTGATCTGGCCATTACATCTTGGGCACAGGTAGTGACGGTCAGGTTTGTACCCCATGAATATGCATATCAATAAAAATAAATAAAATCACCAGGTGATGCTTGATTTATTAAGTGAAAGGAAACTTATTCAGATTAAGAAGATTTTTTCATATAATTCCTACGCACCCAGAGTACTTAATTATTTCATTTTAAGTGGCTTAAGTGCAAAATGAAGAGACTGGGTTTTATCAATTGTTTTCAAATTTTTAAAAATTGTTTTTAGCAAGAAAACTATTACCTGGCACTACTCCACTTCCTAAAAGCAGAGTTGCTCTAATTGGAGTTACTCCTAAGTTGTGGTTTTAAAAACAATTTGAAAACTACATTGCTTTTAAGTGACAAAACAGCAGGTGCAATGGAACGATAGACCTATAGTTTGACTGGAGCTGTATGATTAACATATGGTTATCCAAAATAATACCTGTTGGGACAGCCTTTATTTGTTTGTGTGTGTGTGTACTGGCAACAATTCATAATGACACTTCCATATGCTTTCAATTAGGCCCTCTTTCTGTATGTAACCTTCACTTAGCTGCCAACTTAGAAGAGAATCAATACCACAGCCTTGTTCTTATTAGCACTATACTAAAATCACCCAAACTATCATATTTCGCATTATCAAACCCAAGCTTTACAGTACCTTGAATGACTCTGTACTTATAAAACTGGTGGTGATGTGGAATAACCATGATAATATAAGTCACCATGAAGAACTTTTATGGGAAGTAGAAATTCAGTTAAGATTGAGTACCCATTCTTGCACTGTACTCGTACAAGGCAATGAGGAAGTGAAGTCTGTCCTCAAGGACTTGGACTTTGACGGCGGACAGGCTGTTACACAAATACAGCGCAAGGTAGAATGCAGCCTGTATTATTATTTATGTCTGGGCACAAAGAAATTCTGACTTAGGGGAAGGTATCCTGGAGAAGAAATTACTGTCTGGCCTCCTCAGAAACAAGGGCCGTACACTCTGTCTGCCCTTGCGAACGTAGTAGGAAGGACTTCTAAGCTTTAAGGAAAAAAAAAAAAAACCGGATAATCAGAGAAACCGTCAAGCACCACCTAATGCAAGCCTCTGTCTTAGAGCTGGGAAAAACTTCAGCCCGAGCTAGAAGTGCACTTGCCTACTATTATCACAAGGGCAAGGCAGTGGCAGAACAGTTCTCTGACTGACAGTCCGATGCTCTCCCACTTGATGGTGAATGAGTCATTAAGGCTCACTCACAAGCCCTTCGTACTTCTTCCCCTCCCTGCACCTGCTTCCTTAAGTCTAAAGGCGACTGAAATATCTGACAATCTTATTCCGGCCCAGACCCTTAGGCTTGCCCTCATACTTGGGACCCGATTTGGCCCGCCAAGTCAGGCACACGAGGAGTGAGTTGGTCGGAACCCACCCCCGCGCTGGGCCTCAGTGCGGCACTGTCCACCCTTCTCTCCTGGACTGTAGCCTCGGAAGTGACGTAAGGGAAGCGGAAGTGCTGTCGTGGCGCCAAGTTCCTGTTGTTAGAGGCGGGGGGTGGGGGGCAGGCCACTTGGTGTGCGGTTGTGTGGGGCGGTCAGGGGGCGGCTGACCCTCTGCCTGCAGGGACGGGAGTCGCGGGGCGGCCGTCATGGCGGTGTCGGAGAGCCAGCTGAAGAAAATGGTGTCCAAGGTGAGTCCGCGACGCGCTCGGCGCCCGGCACGAGCCCACCGCTCCCTTCAGCTCTCGGCCCAGTCCGGCCCAGGGAGTCTCCCGGGCGGACCGGAAGCCCCGGTTGGGTCCACAGCTACCTTTGCGGCCACCCGCCCCGAGGCGCTTGTCGCCTAGTTCCGTAATCCCTCATAAGGGGGCAGGGAAGGTAGGGGGAAGCGACAGTCAACAAAGACGAGGAGCCGAGGCCGCCTGCCACCTGCCGCCCGCCCTCCTCTCCTCGGGAGAGTTGGGAACTGTCTGTGGGGCAGTATAGTTTTCGTCTTAGTTTTTATAAACAGAGAGAGGGGGGTTGATCTGAGGCAGTGCTCCACTCTGTCCTAGTCTAGTGATCCATCAGTCTTCGCCCTTCACTCGTCGGCCCCTAGAGATTATGGCCTTTTCAGTTTTGTATTCCCCACGCAGCTCAGCGCCGACCTGCGGGAGATCAGTAACTATTGGTTGAACTGGCTCAGTTATAAGTAGAAACGTCCAGGGAAGCCAGAATACCAGTCCCTCACAACACCAGGTGAAGTAAATAGAATTCCATTACCATTTCAGAGATTTACTAAGACTAACTGCTATTAATTTAATGCTTTTAATAATGCGTGTTTATTTGCTTTGATATTAGTTTACAATCTTTACAACAGCTCAAGGCCCCTGTACTTTTTTCCTTTTTAAAAATGCAGTTAGGCATTTTGTATTTTAAAGCCGTGATTTATTTTTTTAATTACAGTACGTCAAATGTGGCTTCTGACACCAGAGTGGAATGGCTTTTGTTTTGTTGTAAATTTACCAGACCTAATTGGAACGAGATATATGTAAAGTAGTTGAGAATTGAGCATTGTCCAGTTCAACGGGTTAGCTTTGGATATTTTTGTCAAAGCAAGAATGGTAGAAATTGACTGTATAAGCGGTTTTCAACTTCTAATCAAACATACTCATGTATAAAACTAATTTTTAAATAGACTTTTCCCAGTAAAATCTCCCCCATAGTCCTTGATTGAAGAGCAAATAGTCTCTAAAGAGAAGGTGACAGTTTTCGAAATAAAGTATCGCTTGGTTGTCTAATCATATCTTCTAGGCTTTATGATTTTCCCTGGATTAAGTGGTTATCCTTAATGGTAGAGGTTTTGGGGAGCTGTAGAATGTTGTGGCCCAGGTAAAGGTCTATGCTGTAACACTTGTATATCACTTTTTGAAAAACAGTATATTATTTTACATACTATGTAACCGAAGAGTATGTGCCGTGACATTTTTGATCTTTAAATTGATAGCATAGTCATTAAGATTTACTCCTTAATGTATGTGTATTCATAAAAACAAGAATATTCAAATATTGGCTTATTTTTTAAACCCTAATTAAGTTTCCTAAGCTTCCTCTAGAGGAACCTGCTGTCAAAGACAAAGGAAGGGCATCTTTAGAAGATATTGTCATCCCTGGGTGTTGTCCCTTGGTATCAGGAAGGGATTGGTTCCAAGACCTTCTGCCAGTACTAAAATCCACAAATGCTTGAGTCCCTGATATAAAATGGCATAGCATAACCTATGCACATCCTCTCATGTATTTAAAATCATCTCTAGATTATATATAGTACCTAATATGATATAAGTGCTATGTGAATAATTGTTATACTGTATTGTTCAGGGAATAATGACAAGAAAAAAATGTCTGTACTTGTCCAGTGCAGACACAATTGTTCCCCTCAGAATTCTCGATCTGCAGTTGTTTGAATCCAGGAATGTGGAACCCATGGAAATGGAGGATTGATGGGACTTTTATACCTCCACCTGTCTCCCCCTCCACCCTACCTCTTTTTACCCTAAAAAACAAAAAAGGAGATAGGTACCAGGTGGGAGAGGATATCTTACCTATCTTTTGGTTCTTGGCCCAGTATCTGAAAAACTGATACTCCTGTGATTATAACAGTTATGATCATCAGCATCTTTTCTGTCCAGCCCATGAATAGATAGGTAGGAACAGTAAGTAGGATAATAGAAGCAGTTTGTGGAGCTCCTTCATCTTAATGGAGGGCTATCTTGAAGTGTTATCCTCTCACTTGGGTGTGGTCTAATGTAGGAATTGTTAACCAGGACCCTCTATCGGTACTCTGTGCCACCTGCCTTATTTTTTTATATATATATATTATCACAAATCATTTTTTCCTTTGAGTGTTATCTTAACTCTCAACTTAAACATAACTTTAGTTAACAACCATCTCTGTCATCATTTTAGCAATTAACAGAGGTATATTTATACTGTTTTTATACTTGCTTTATATATTTACACAAATAACTTTCTACTTTAGATTTTTCGTACAGACAACAACCTGTATTCTTACGTAGTATATCTATGGCATTCCTTGAGGTGGAGTCACTACTAAATGAGTAGAAGAGAGCTGACACATTAAAGATTGCTATGCACCTCACACTGTTTTAGGTTCTAGGGATAGAACATTAAACAATAAGACAAAAAACTCTACCCTTCTGGAATTTAAATCCTCATAGAAGGCAAGTACATTAAGTAGTATGTTGGAAAGTGGTAAGTGCTTTAGAGAAAAATAAAACAGAAAAGGGAAATAGTGCTGGGGAGGTGAAAATGGGATGGGTTGCAATTCTATATTGGATAGTAAAGGAAGACCTTTGTGAGAAGAGTTATTTGAACAGAGACCTGAAAGAGGTAAAGAAACAAGCTGTAGAACAGTCTGGGATAAGAATATTTCCAGGAAGAAGGAAAAACAAGTGCAAAGGTGCTGAGATAGAAGTTTGTCATTCGCGATAGAGGAATTACAAAGGAGAATAGGGTG